CCACACCTTTTATTAGGCATAAAACATTCAACAGTCATGCCAATACAAAGCTGATGAGGTTTTTCTGAAAGACATTATTTTTAAAAGGATTTAATTGACATTTATATTTTCTTTGACCCATTACATTTTATAATTTCTTTGGTAGGGAGTCAAGGTCCATTAATTTTATTCTCTTGTTCAAAAGGAAAATTTCAGTATACGTAGAGATGTAGACTACTGTTGAAATAATTATTAACAATTCTATTATTAATAGCATATATGGCACTTTTTATCTTCAAAGCACTATATGAACATTAACTAATTAATATTCATAATACCCCTGTAAGGCAAGTATTATTATCCCCATTTTACAGATAAAGAACCTGGGGCAAAGAGATGATGCAAGTTTGCCAAACTATACAGTAGGAGGCAAGTGTCAAAGGCAGGCCTAGAACTCTATAGAGTCCCTGCCACCCACTCTCCCTGCTTCTGAACAAGAGGGATTAGGCATACATATAGCTGAGAACAGAAGGCCAATCTTGGTAAGGTACAACATCTAAGGCAGGGGTGGGCAAACTTTTTGGCCCGAGGGCCACATCTGGGGGTGGAAATTGTATGGTGGGCCATAAATGCTCACAAAATTGGGGGTTGGGGTGTGGACTCTGGGGTGGGGCCAGAAATGAGGAGTTCAGCGTGCTAGAGAGGTTTCCGGGCTGGGGCAGGGGTGCGGGTGGGGGGGTGAGGGCTCCAGCTAGTGGTGCGGGCTCTGGGGTGCAGGAAGGTGGGACCAAGGGGTTCGGAGGGTGGGAGGGGGATCAGGGCTGGGGCAGGGGGTTAGGGTGCTGGAAGGGGTCGGGGTGCAGGCTCCAGGTGGCGCTTACCTCAAGCAGCTCCCAGAAGCAATAGCATGTCCTCTCTCCGGCTCCTATGTGGAGGCGCGGCCAGGCAGCTCTGCGCACTGCCCCGTCCGTAGATGCTGCCCCTGCAGCTTCCATTGGTCGCAGCTGCCGGCCAATGGGAGCTGCGAGGGCGGTGCTTGGGGCGGGGGCAGCGTGCGGAGCCCCCTTGCTGCCCTACATGTAGGAGACGGAGGGGGGACATGCTGCTGCTTCTGGGAGCCGCGTGGAGTGGGGCAAGCCCCAGACCCCACTCCCCGGCAGGAGCTCGAGGGCAGGATTAAAATGTCTGAAGGGCCGGATGTGGCCCCCAGGCCATAGTTTGCCCACCCCTGATCTAATGAGACCACATTTGACTTTTAGGGAGATAAAATGTGGAAGAAGCTGGAAGACATTTTTTTTAAACCCCTTTTAATATTCTTTTCTGTAGCTAGTTTAGGGCTGGTGAAAGTGTCAGATTGATTCTCCTGGAGTCCTACCTTCTCTGTCTACAGAACAGACATAGAAAAGGCTGCAGCAGTCAGTGGAAGCTTCCCCACATTGGCAAATCAGTGTTCAATTGCTCTCAATCTGAAATGATAATAGGTTTAGCTCAGTCTTCATAACAATTTTGTCCTTGGACGAAGGGTGCTGGAATCTTTGTAGAAGTGTGTGTGTGTGTGTGTATATGTGGGGGAGAGGGGGGCGCAAAGGCCAAAGGGCCCCCTCTCTCTCTCTGTGGCTGGCTGCTCCGGTGGTGAGCCCACTGCCCTCTCTTTTGGTGCCACATCAGCCCCTGATGGGTGAAAGCTGTAACTGCAGTGCCTCCCTGGCAGAAGTTATCATTCTGCAGGAGACACGAACTCTGCACTTATGTTTCTTCTGTTAAAAAGTGGGGGCCATGGTCCCCTGGCTCCCCGATTCCGGCACCGGTGCCTTGGACTCTCCATTAAGACTGCCAACAAAAAGATTGATTAGTGCTAACTGTGCTTCTGGTTTTCGGATGTAAACACTTGACCTGCAGGAACTGGACTGAAAGCATCAATTTATTTCACTCAGTTCATCAAGCAGAAATCAGATAGTCAAAGCCAGACTTTCTCTCTCTAAGTGATGTAAATGTTGAAAGAGTTCATCAGTGGGTTTTGTGGATGAGAGTTAGAGTTAGTGAAATGTGTATGGTGAATTTTTACATGTCAATATTGTTGTTAAGTGAGCGAGAAGGTTTATTCAGTTTGCTATGGCAGTTTTATGCATATTCAATCAATCCATTAAATATTATTTTTTTCTGAATATCCAAATTCTGTAATATGTAATAATTTTTACAACGGCCTCTAATAGGTGTCCCAGAAGAGCTCATTCACAGCTGTTCTGTAAACTGAATGCATCGGACATAAATCTTCCTTTCCTCACACGGTATTAGTGAGCTAGACTCTTAGCTCAATCTGTTCATCAGTACAATAGTTTCCTCAGAAAGCTCAATATCTAATCTAATGTTTATTAATTAAGCAATAAGACATGACAGATTGTGCAGCAACCCTAATTAATGGACACCTCTGGTGCCTGACGCACATCCAAGAAGTGCATTAATCAGCATTACCACAGATCTGAAATGACACAACACAATAATAAAATGGTTATTTACGGAAACAAGTCACATTTCTCAAATCGAGTAAGTTTTTAAGAATACATATTATGCTGTTGGTAATGTTACAAAATGTATGGTCAACATTTTCAAATCTAGGTGCCTAAAGGTCAGCTCCTAAATTCATACTTAGGCAATTAAATAGAAGTTGCCTGATTTTCAAAGGTGCTGAGCCTCTACAGTTCCCAATGACTTAACTAGTATTTATGGGTGCTTATAATTTCTGAGAATTAGATCACTTTTATTCAGATGCCTAAATATCACTTGATCAGACTAACTGTAGACTCTTAGGTTTGAAAATGTTGATCTATGTAAATACTTTCCTATATGCTTGTGTAGGGTGATCTGTGACAGCGAATTAAAAAATTCTAACAATTTTGACCACCGGTGCTGAAGCCCACAGTAGCCAGTCTAGAAAGGGCATTTTGTATATTAACAGAGTATGACTTCTTATTTTTTTCTTGTTGCTCAGTGAAGACCCAACAGGCATGAGGTGAAAGCTATCTGGGACATGGGTTTGGCCAACTGGAGGCCAAGTACTATAACTGTCACTTAAAAAAACGTATTGCAAGATTTTCCAAAACAGTCATAATAGCTGATATCTTTGCAGATCTGTAAAAATAAACTATTTCTGAAGTGATGTAAATGGTGGTATCAGCTAGATGTAGGTAAGTGGACATAAGGAGATACATTTACACACTAATGTAGCAGAAATATGGAGAATAGCAGGAAAAGCAACTAACAAAGAGAGTGTGGAATGGTGTCAGAAAAAGGTCCCAACCTTAATTTGTTAATATTTTTTTTCTGCTGTATCTCCTTCCATCCTTCGGTATCTAGGGTATGCTTGTACTGTCTTTCTGATGAGCGAGTAACACCACCATATATAACACCTCTGAATTTGGTTTAGAATGTCAGCTCATGTAGCTATTGTCCTTTTTTGTTAAAACAGGACCTGTGATTCTCCGTATTTATGCAAGACTTGTCAGCAAAAGTTTGCACGGTGTCTTTTATACATCTGCTCTGTGCACACTCCCCCTACCCCCACTTCCCTCGCCAGAACTACAGTATCACTGACTTTTGGGAAATTCATATTATTTCTGTAAAACAAATTCATGCCTACTTAGAGTTACTTACTGTGCTAAAACATAGGCCACAATATGCTGCAAAGGTAGGTTTACATACTGCATGTCTAACTATTTGGAATTTTCCAACGCAATTTAAAGCCACTGAATGTTTGGAATGTCACATTTACTTCTTGTTAACATCTTGATCAAATTAATGAAACTTCATCACATTATATTGGGAAAGACATATTGTTCTGCATCCCAATGATACATGTTTTGGTACAGCATGATGATGATTATATGGCAGTATTGCCATGACTGATTTTTTTTTCTGCTGGAACATTCTGAAAAAATTCTGAAAAAAAGTGGCTTCCTTAATAAAAGTACCTCTGTCAAACCTCTTTTTGACAAATCAGCCTGAAACTAACAGAAGTTGTCAATCAGCTTGGAGTGACAACATCCTTGCAATAATGTAAAAAATAATCATCTAGAAAAGTTTTGTGATACAGAGATATATCTACACTATGCAGGGCATGAGGAGTGATAAGAATGTGTAGTAAGAAGGGGTGGCTGTCATTCTGCACCATGACAGGGAGATTGTTTCTTGCGTGAGGCTTTGACATGCTGTTCCAAGCTATGGGGTGCCATCCTCAATTGCAGTACTTGTGGAAAACTTAACTTGTGATAAAAATTGCCCTATCTCTTTCAGTGCTGCAGTTTACAGGACAAACTTTCAACTTCCTTAGAAGATAATGTTTGTTCTAGTTAAGAAGAACATTTACGGTACATAGTTGAAACTTTTTTTGAGCAAATGGCAGAGAAAAATATATCACTTTATACCTTTACACTGTCTTGTACAAAATGTAAAACTACAGGTAGTTTGTAAAGAAAACATTGTATATTAATTATTAAAAAGCAGAACTAGAAATATTCTTCTCACGGCAGCTTCAAATTGTATCCCATTAGCCCCAGACGTGTTTTGGGATTCACCACCTAAAGTATGTTCATTGAAGGGCACCATCAGGGCGCTGTAGATAAATTGGACCAAACTGATCACTGGTATAACACCACTATTCATGGAGGAATTGAAATATTACTTTGTTGAGCAAACTGTATCCTCAGGTGTAGGCACAAGGCTCCCACTGACTTGGATCGAAGCTGCACACATCCGAGCCCAGAATCTGGCAAACTGATTAGGACTTTTTGTGGTGTGGCTTTAGCCCTTCCAGGAAGCCAGTCAAAATTTTACTTATAGAGAGGCAGATCCTCAGCTGGTGTAAAACAGCAACATTTCATTGAAGTCAGTGGAGTTAAGTTGATTTATACTAGCTGAGGATCTGATCGAGAAAGTAAATAAGATAGCAAAAAATGATAGGGGTAACAATCATTTGCAAAGAACATTTAATCAGAGTGAGGAGATCGGTTCCATGCAGTACTTACATCCTGATTAGACATCTCCCAATATGGTCTTTCTCCATAGGACATCACTTCCCACATGACAATCCCATAGCTCCATGCATCACTTGCTGAAGAGAACTTTCTGTAGGCTATAGCTTCAGGGGCAGTCCATCTTATGGGGATTTTTCCACCCTGGAAGACATATTAAAAACTTCTCAGTCTCACTAGAATACAGAACTGCAAGTACCTTAAAAATAAATAAATAAATAAACCCTCTCACTGTTGAGGTTCCATATTCTGCTGTCTGTGAAATAGACTGACAATACAGTTTTGCCTTGGCAATTTACTATAAATGACAATGTTGGTATTGGTGGCCCGTGGTATGCAGAATTTCAGACTAGATGATCTGGTGGTCTTTTCTGGCCTTAAACTCGATGACACTACTATTGCAAAAAGCATTTGCAAAAATTTGATTACCACAGTTCAAATATATACCCTCTAACAAATTCACACTGTGGAGATCTTTTGCATGGTGATATATTTATACACTATAATCAGTTATATTTTATCTATTACATTTTGTATCTGGAAAATTCTTTTGCATTTTTAAGAGTAAAATGAGTTTTTTCCTGATGCATTCCTTCAACAAAAATCTGTGTTAATTATCACTGATTAGAGGAGCTCCTCGAAAAAAAGTTTATTTCTTGAAAGTAGTGTATTCATAGTGCCACTAGATGGCAGAATGGGCCAGTCAGAAGAATTGAGAACTAATCCTAGCTGTTTTTCAATGTATTGAGAATAAAGATTGTTCAGTGTGAACACTATTTCTGGAAGAAAGAAAATAAATTAATTACAACATAGTTTTGGATGCTGAAGAAAAGTCAAGCAGTTTTTAAAAAGGAAGCAAATTTACACTGTTAATCTAGTTTGTTATGTGGAAAATTATTGGTCAATAACTTGTCAAGATGATGATGACTCATAATGCCATTGCTGCATCAGAAAGTATTGCAAGGCAAAAATATATGCATGTGGGCATCTTGTTTGAATGTTATTATTCCCTTTATTAATTATAATCGCTGTGACAAACCAATGTAGCTAGTTAATGTCGTTATGGTTCATAAATGATTATAGCTAAGATGCTCTTTGTGGGGTTTATATCTTTTTATTTAAGCACTATGGTTTTGTAAAAGACTTAGGCTATTCAAATTTGGCCTAACTCGGTCTACTCTAAAGTCAATGGCAAAACTCACTTTGACTTTAACAGGAGCAGAGTTAGGTCACTAATGCTGAATTGCTTTTTAAAATCTCATGCTCTATCCCATTTATTTAGAGCTATACTGAGCCATTTAGGCACTGTGATTTTAACCTGGGGTGCTAGTATTGATTTTTCCTTGGACCTTGTGAGGATGAACAAAGGAAAGACATCTTCCATCCTTGGGGCCACAGAAAAGACAGAAGGCCCAACACAGAAGTTAACATATTTGGGAATTGAATTGGATACAAGGCAGCATGTATCACAGCTACCCAAAGAAAAGCTAGATAATATAAGGCTGTTGATAAGGGTACTCAAAGGTTCTAGGAAAGTTATACTAAAATGGTTTCAGGTGATCATGGGGCACTTAAACTTTGCATAGAGAGAGGTGGTGCTGGGTAGAGCCTCATAATTTTGTCAGGGTGACCATAGAAATGAGGGAAGATTTGGAGGTATGGGAAACATTTTTGGAACAGTTTAGTGGGCTAACAATCTGGTGATCCAATTGGATACTGGAATCGGAGCTTCAGGTAGAATTGGATACCTCGGAGGGAATCTGTTGTAGACCGTATTACCAAGGGAGCACAGAGGTAGCTTGAGTAGTGGGCAATGCAGGTTACAACAAGAGATGTCCCATTTGAGTTTTCCACTAATACTGGTGGCTTCCAATATGTAGGGCCAGCAATTTAGAAATAAATGGGTTTGTTTTTGGTACAACATTCAGGCAGTAGTCACATTATTACCTGGCAGTCAGCATTGGAGGGTTTTGACTCCCAGTGAGTCCAGGCAATTGGGCACTGGAAATTGGACTGTTACAGGACCTGTGCTCCCTTTGATGGGTGACTGGGGAAGGCAAAGATGAGCTAATGTTGTCTGTCTGTGATTGCAGGAGACATCAGAGACAAGGTTGATGTTTGGATTTTCAGGTCCCCTATTGTGCATTGGGCCCACACGCAGGCAGCTAGGTTGGCAGATGGACTGCAGCTAAGCTTCAGGGCTGAGGGTGTCTGCCTTCAATGGTTTGGCAGAAGGGGCTCATTCTGGAATCAGCTCATGTCTCTTTTGCACTTATTGATGGGTGAACTATACCCACCTAATGTCCTAGTTATTTATCTCGGGGAAAATGATTGAGGGGCCTGCAGGATTCAGAGGGACATGGGATAGATTAGACAGTCACAGCCAAACATGAAATTGGTTTGGTTAGAAATACTCACGAAGCATGTATGGCAGGGAGCCATCAATCTTTTTGGATGCAGGTGGCTCAGGGATTACACACAGGGACATCCAGTACAATGTGCTGGAGGCTTTTAAGGGATGAAGGAGTGCACTTGTCTGGGGCTGACATTTTGGCTGTGGATTGGATTAGGTAAGAAACAGATCCCACCTGGTACTTAAACCCATCTCTGTGTCGTTCTTTCATTCACCCGTGCACCTTGATCAGTGAATGTTTCTCACTGTTCAGTTATGAGCCTGCCCCCACACAAGTGAGACAGGCAAAACTCCCACTCCTCCTGACCATGAAGAGCATAGGATTGGTTCTTAAGAAGAGACTAAATTTAACATTATTTTGTAGTCCTGCCCTTTTTACATTCACCATTTCGCCTCTCTTCTTAGTTTAGTAACTCAGGCCAAATTCAGGACCTGATGTAACAATGCATGTTAAATGCAAAGGAAAGATTCCCATTAACCTTCTGTGGGTGCTGGATCAGGTTCTCCAGCGCTATGTGCTTTTAACACAGCCAAGGGCAAATTGTGTTCATGTTGACCCTTACAAGTGGGTGCAATATCTGCCTGGATTATGCATGCCAATTGTGGGGGAGGTGAACAGAAGATGTTAGCACTTGGGCTAAAAAGTACAGACTTTACCCTTTAAACCCAGGCCCTGTTGAAGACTTCTTCTTGCCATATGTCCATACACAAATGATCTGCAAAGTGTGAACTCTGCAGGTTTTGAGGGAAGGCGCAAAAGAGGAATTCTCTGTTTCTCTTCCTGACCATGGTTTTTTGGAGAATTTATGTGCAGCTTGAGGTCTGGCCGTAGAGATTTAAAAGATGCTCCTCAACCCTATATAATACAGATCTATTCCCAATTACTGACTTTGGTTAAAACAAATTTCTTCTCAGAGGCTAGTATCGACTGACGTCCAAAGCCTTTTTTTAGATATTAGTGGCCAGAAAATGGATACAATCCAAATACAAGCCTTGAGACATCAGAACAGCAGTGAGAAATATACTACTATAACCGAGAATAAATGACATGCTACTAATCTGAATGTTCAGTGTGTTAATTTAAAGCTCTATATCATGTAGTGAAACATATTCATAAATTGTTCTAATGAGCATACACTTTTAATTTTGTAGAAGTTTAATCAATGGAAGACATTTGTATCTATCATTTATCAGCATTTGAATTTTAATGAATAGTTCTGTTATTAATTACTGAATTTCTATGTTTAGAGAAAACACGCACAAATAATGAGTAGTTGACATTTGGATATTCATAAAATATTCTTTTTGTATGAAATTAGCAACAGAACTATGCATTCAAGTCTGAACGTAGATAATGAATTTATTCATTAAGTTTGATTGAGGGTGGAGATCTAATCATCATTCCTTCATGAATCTGATCACATACCCAGAAAATATACTCAGAAGAGGTCACAATTGTCACTTTGAATAGCATTCATAACAAAATTTGATTCTTCATATAACTGACTTTTTAAAGAATCTGATTAGACTACCAAAACTAGCTTCATCATACAGCTTTACTGACTGGTTCCTCTGGGACTGGCTCCTAGAATGTGAAAATAAGAATGGAGAATAAAATCTTAACAAAATTCATGGAAGTTCATTTCCCTTGGCACAGTATGTGCTCAATGTTGTAGCATAAAAGGAATTTCCTGGGATACCTAATGGCAAAGGGAAGCAAATCCTCTTAAATTCACACAGTAGACTCAGCTTACACATAAGCCATTATAAGCAAAAATGTATATTTCAATACTTAGTTATGTTTGCAGAATATCTTTTATGCAAAAAAGCTGTTTTATTTCTTGGGAAGAAATCTGAAAGGTTGAGACCTCAATATGACTAACAGTAAAGGCTGATATAACTAAAAAGAACTATGAGCCATTCATGCATAATAAGACGCATAAGCTTCAGGATAGCTAAAATGACACTTCAAGTTCATGATGAGAGTAATAAACAACACTATTATTATTGGGCATTTCTTTTTAGTTGTCACCTAATTGAAAAAAAATTTGAACACAATATTGTACACCAAGTGAGCCAGCTTCAAATTAAAATAATGTATACATGATCTAAATTTAACTACTCTAGCGGATTAATCAAAGCTGTCACAGTTTCCTAGTCCAGAAAGCCTTTACACAAGCAAGCACTTTTTTTTGTTAAAAACCATGTTGCATTTTTGCCCCATCTCTAAAATTTATAATGAGCTCTGTGCCCAGGGCTGGATTTACACCTTGGGCACACCTAGGCCAATGAGAGCTGCGGAGCTGGCGCTTGGGGTGAGAGCAGCATGCGCAGCTTCCCTGATTGCCCCTGTGTCTAGGGGCTGCAGGGACATGCTGGCCACTTCTGGAAGTCATGCAGATCCAGGGCGGGCAGGGAGTCTTCCTTAGCCCCGCTGCACCACTGACTGGACTTTTAATGGCTCGGTCAGCACCGCTGACTGGAGCGGCTAGGGTCCCTTTTTGACTAGGTGTTCTGGTCGAAAACCAGATCCTTGGCAACCCTAGCCGGCCTCCCGCCCTGCCGGGACACAGGAGTGGCAAAATTTGAATTTTTAGGTGCCTCTAGAATGCTGGCGCCTCTAAGCATGTGCCTACTGTGAAATCCAGCCCTGTCAGTGATATGCTAATTTTGTTTTCCTGTGGTAAAACAGCTCTAACGGTGATATTCCATTCCTTATGATTTAGCCTGT